GGGTGTGGGTTTGGGTGTGTGGGTGTGGGTCTGGGTGTGGGTGTGGTGGGTTTGGGTGTGTGTGTGCGTGTAGGGTGTCGGTGTGGGTGGGTGTGGGTTTGGGTGTGTGGGTGTGGGTCTGGGTGTGGGTGTGGTGGGTTTGGGTCTGGGTGTGGGTGTGGGTCTGGTGGGTGGGTGTGGGTACGTAGGCATTGGGATGGAGTTATTAACATCAAGACACATACGCATTCATCCATCCACATTCACTCAAACATATCCACCAATACTCACCCATAGGGTGTGGATGGTACGAGTGTGGGTGTGCCAGATATGTTTGTGAGTGTGGGTGTAGGTGAGTCTTCTCTCATATAACCCCCACACCCACATCCACACCCAAATTCGCACCCAAACCCACATTCACACCCACGCCCCGCACCTACACAGACACCCACCATTAAAACTATCGATGGATTTTCGTGGTATGTCAAAAAACATTATTGCTATCTGCATTACACCTTAATCCAGGATTTCTGATGAATATTCAACAAGCAATAATCAAATAGGAAGCAGAAAAGCAAATTCAACAAACTTTCACTCCATCGACTACTTAAATTGATTGCAGAGCACACAGAGTATTGTAAGTAATGAATCTTACAAGTAATGAATGCTCATTGTACCATCATTAGGAGTTAGTTGTTTCCAATGATGGATGTCGTTAAAACTTCATATTCATTAGAAGAATAAAATAAATCTAAAAAACTTTCTTTCCTAGTGTATGTTCAAAAATTTATCATTCCTCTACACACATTTATCTTAGTCTGTTGTTAGTCGTTTTAATTTGCTGTTTAAAATTTAAATTTTTTTTCTTTTAATTAAATGAGTGGTGATTTATAGTTTTTTAAGAATTTTTCTTATTCATAGTCAAAATCTGGATTTAAGAACTTTATCTCATTAGTAAAGAGTCTTATTTTAAGTATGTAGACAACAAGAAATTTCATTATAAATTTTTAATTTATATTTTACTGAAGTATGCATACGTCGATCTAGAATACTTACTAAAAAAACGAATTATTAATTTATAAGATTTCTTTTTATTTTAAACCATGTTTTTGTTTCGAAATGTTTTAAATTCGACTAATTTTCGAAATACATAAATTCTAATTTTACTAATTTTATATTTTATATTTTTTAGGAGGTTTAAAGGTACCAATCATCTGAAGGTTTGAGCGAAAATTCTTTTACGCTATGATTGAGTAGAGCTCGTTGAGTTACATTTAAAAATGTTGTGTTTAACATATTCAGGCCATGTTTCTCTAGTAAAAATTAGGTTAAGCTTGAAATAAATCAAGAGCATAAAGTTTTAGTATTTTCAAAATCTAGTCGAAATCATTTTTTGATTTAGATATGTTAAAAGAAACAGTAAATAAGAATTTGTATTTTTAGATTTTCACCATTCAAACTTCAGCTCCGAATCAAAGTCATATCATATCCAGAGTTAGAGCAAAAATGTATGTCGAACAGTGTATTCAATACTTAAAACTAATTTTCGTAAAATTTTGGTCCTTACACATCCTCACATAAAGGACATTTCTATTGAGTAAAGTGGACATGATTTAGTTTCTATTAAAAACGAGTTCTTTTTTAATAGACATATTAGTTTTTTTGTACTCAAAAATAAGATTAGTGAAAACTATTTGCGATAAAAAATTCCTGAGCAGAGCCCTTCTTCTAAATTCCTAGAAAAACACTTTTTGTTTTAAAAATTGATCAATGCTTGTTCATTCGATGCAGTTTTTCACGCTGATATCAAATATATCTTTATTTTTCTCTCAAAGTGCTTCTATAACAAAGAAATCATGCAAAATCTATAAAAATCATTTCAGAATGAAAAATTTACTTATCCATTAATAGAGCAAAAGTCCTAGTGTCATACTATATATAATTTATTGTCCAGTTAATTTTATTTATTACAAAAACAATGATATTTTTCTCTTAAAGATACTGAAATTTGATCTTTTTTTCTCACGAATTTTAGCAGCTGGGATCACACTTGTTTTTTTTTACCAAAAAGCTGGTCGTTAATTATTTCGAATATTTTGATTCATGTCTTCTCTAAGATCGAAATTTTACGACAACTGGTTTTAAGTTTTGAGTACACTATTCGATATAGATTTTTGTTCTAACTCTGAATGTGATATTTGTTTCTTTCAAAACCGAAGTTCCGATAATCAAAACCTCGAAACACAAATCCCTATTTATAGTATTTTGTTATCATATCACAAAAATTGATTTTCTAAACAAAGAAACAATATTTAGCAAAATATCATGTGTGATTTTTTTTGTCTCACTATATGATGAGTTCAATCAAAAAAAGTGATCTCGCATAAATATTAGAATTATCAAGACTTTATGCTTTGAATTTATTTGGATTTTATTCTAATATATATGAATGAAATTGTCTCCCATGTCGTTCAAAGTGCCCGAAAACCTGCGGTCAATCACGATTCGTCAGCTGAATGTTATTTTCGCATCACTGAGGGTGAATATTTTTAAACTCTTACAAAATCGTCGTCCCTTGTATATGCAACCTCGCTGAGACTGGCAATACTAGACACATCTACTATATTGGCTTCGTTTTCAAGTTTAGATTTTTATAAAAGATGGTATCATAAAAATAGTTATTCGCGAGATAACTTAACTAATCCATAAATCAGTGGCGCCATCTAACAGAATTTTACTGTCGTATAACTATCTAGACTTTTTTGAGTTACAATCGATTCTTTCATGACTAAAAATATTAATTTAGAAGGAAAATTATTTAAAAAATCGATAAACAAACAGAAATTGACTCAAACTGGCCGTTTTGATGAAAATTAACGATATGGGGTGTATATGAATCATGTATGATCCAATGAAACTTGGAATATTCATATTACGATCAGCTACACAAAAATAAAACTAAAATTTCATTTCATTTAATAAATCATAGTTCTCTCGTAAAACAGTGATTCATTAAATCGATATTCATTCGTATTCTATTTAATTATTCTGAATTTAAAGTTCATCAAAAGTAAAAATTGGTAAATAATTATGATAAAAAAAAATGCTATTTATTCTATTGTAATTAATATATAATTTTTTCTTTCTCAAACTTCCATTAATTGGATTTAGAAATCTAAATTCAAAGAAAAATCACGAAAACAGTTGAATAGATTTTTTTTCTTTATGCTCTTATATTCTCTCTATAATATGTTTTCTTTTTATGGTTGAATTGTCATCATATGGGTTATTGTTAAGTCGATCATTATTATAATCACGAATAGTACAAAGATATCTTTATTTGCTTATCCTTGATTGTTTTTAACTAGAAACGAATGACTCTACCTTCAGTTGGAAATTTCCAACTAACATAAATAACATAAGATCATAGTGAAATTTTTACTAGCTGAATAATACTAAGTCATTATTATTCATTTATTTACTTTAAAAATAAAATTATGTACAAATGGTCTATAAAAATGAATTAATAAGTAATTTAGTATCAAGTAAGTAAACTATGTCTTAGAAGTAATTTATTAGTGAAACTAATTTATTTTTTTGTTCAATGTTGATGTTTATCATTGTTTGATTTTTCTTTCTCGTCAAATATATAATTTACACAAATTAATTCACATGCATTTTATATGATTGTATCAAAAATACAAATCATATTAAAATTTTCCAAAAGTATGTCAAATAGTTTTAGTATTTCATTTTAATAAATAGAAGTCCTATAAATATAAATGGTGATATTTTTACAAATTCAATTAAGATTTTTTTCTAATAGATTTACTAAACAATGCATTATGAAAGCCTTGTGAGAAAAATCCAACCAACATTTTATGATTCATTTCATTGTAAGTAAATATCTATAATATTATGCTTTCTTTTTCTTTTTCTTTCTCTCGATTATTTCAATTTATTATCCAAAGAATTTGGTCTTATTTCAAGATGCGAAATATTTCTCATAATTATGAGTCAATTGTTGACGTCATTTTGACTGTTAAAGCCCACCAAGTGCAAAAATTTTACATTCACTATATACATATATATATATATATATATAAAAGTCCTTCGATTGTGAAATCAACATTACATATTATGAATTGAGTTTTATTTTTGTTTCAACCATTGTTTCTTTTCATATTGATCAGATAAGTAATTTTAATATCATTCAATGAGCTTTATTAATAATGCTATGGTCTGATTTTAAATCATTTTATTAAATAAGTATTGTCAATAAGGAGCCGGATCCGGCCGGGTCCAAATCCCAGATTTTTTCCATCGATGCCTGGCACACTTTGTGTACATGGACAAGTGAAGGAACATGTTTCCACTATTTGCTCGCTACTCTCGAAAAAAAAACTCAACGTACAGTTATATCTTGTTGCTGTATTTCTCATCTGGAGAGCAGCGGGTCCTCAAAAACATGTAATCGAGTCCAGCAAAAAATAAAACTTTGGACTCGAATTCGGCCAGGTCCAGATTGGATCCGGATCTGGAATGATCCACCGTCATTCTATCATATTGTACTATAAATTATATGAACATACACCTATACTTGCATATGTTCCTTATTTTCGAAATAAATACTAAAATAAACACATGAAGTTGTTATAGAATAGTGTTTGAAGTATACTCATTCTTAATTATAGGTTTTTTAGATTATACTATATACGCAATAACCTGTTATACATGCTTCTAGCATGTTACTCTTTTAAAATTAGTGCATGACATTTTTTTTCCTTTCAGGTTGATAAAAATATAATGTTGAGTAATGACGCAAAAAAAATGTTCTTAATATAAAGCGCAGTTGTGCAATATATTCATCGATATTAAAATATCCAGTTCGACAAACTATTTGTTGTCATCGATAATATCAACATAGGTAACAGAGGTCCAGCCAGGCCGCATTTTTGCAGGCCTGGCCGGCCTATGGCAGGCCTCTAAATTCCAAGCCTGCCTGTGCCTGCCAACTTATTTGTTTGGCCTGGCCTGCCTGCCTGGCATTTTCTTCGGCCTGCCTGGCCTGCCTGGAAAGGCCTGTCTATTTTTCTTTTATGCCAATACCATTACCAGGGGTGTCCCAAACAACCGAAAATTGGAGACAGGGGTAGTAACTTATAAAATCCTATTTCCAAAAATGTTGGGTGAGTAGCTAGTGTTGTCAGGTCTTCTGGATTTGAAAGTTTTTTCTAAAGTTTTGCGGGATTCTTTCTGGATTTTCAGGATTTTCTAAATTTTTTGGATTTTTTGACGATGGTGCGCTTTTTCAGGATTTTTTCAAGTCTTTCTCTGGGTTTATCGGAATTTTTCCGAAATTTTCGGGTTTTTTAAGGATTTATCAAGACTTTTTTGGGATTTCTTCTAGGTTTTCTGGATTTTTTGAGATTTTTGCAGGATTCTTTCGAGATTTTTCTGAGTTTTACAGGATTTTGAGATTTAAATTCTGGATTCACGAGTTTGACATCTGACAACACTGAGGTTAACTTATACAATCGTGCTTTACATAGGAAAAGTTTCATTTTGTGAAATACAATGCAAGACAATTTTTCGAAGATTGTGAGAATGGGTGTCACGCGCACACCTTAACCATCACGATGATAGAATAGAAACATGTAGTTTGTTTTACTTTTGAACGAGGTGAAGGATCATCAATAGAGACGGAAGATGAAAGATCAACATCACCCATTTCACGAAGAAAGACAATTGAAATGCTAACATAAATAAGTTTAACAAAAACAATAAAGACTTTTACAGTCAATATTAAATATCTCAACAATAATCGATAAGAAAGATTTTAATAACAGTCGATAATAAAAAAATATAAAATGAGAACATGAAGAGTGAATAGATAAAGAAGAGAAACTCTACGACTTGAGCTGAAGATTAGTCATCCTCTCGATCAATCACCATGAAAGCAGAACATTATTCTATACTTCTCCAGTTCGCTAGCATTACCCTCAATTTGTTTAAAAAACTGTATATTGAAAAAAAAGCTATATTTATAAAGAATATAGACAGGCCAGGCGGCCTGGTATTTTAAGCGGCCTGCCTGGCCTGGCTGAGGGGTCGGCCTGGCCTGCCTGTCATAGGCCAGGCCTAGAAAACGTGGCCTGTGCCTGTGACAGGCAGGCAGGCCCAGGCAGGCAGGCAGGCTTAGTGGCCTGGTTGGACCTCTGGTATGAACTTTTTGAGTACACAAAAATGAAAACAAAAAGTTGATATTTGTTCCTTCTATAGCACTGATACCCATTATACTTATTGTCATTCTACATTACTTTTACAAATAACAAAGCAATGTAAAAGCATCAGAAATATAGAAGTTTTCTTATCAGAAAATTTTTCATCGTTTATATAAAAAACGGACTTATAAAATCTTTAATTAATGCGACTGTTGAATTATTATTTATTTTGAATTTATTTATAAGAAGTAATTCAAATTATATTTTCAAAAAAAAGGAGAAGAATTTTCCTTTTTACGTTAAAAAACGTTCAATACTTCAGCGAAGTATGTTAGTATATTTATGTTTATTAATTTTCCTACTTTGATATCGTGAACAAGCTCAACCTGACAAATAGATGATAGTTCAGTTTTGTCTAATAGAAATTGTAAAATATTGACTTCATTTGTGACACTGATTATTCCTGATACATCATAATTGTTCTCCTGTGTACTTTAATAAAATAAAATAATTTAAATAAAACCTTCGAAATAGAATATTATTTAACTACTTAAATATTCTTAAAAGTAATTTTCATGAAATTTTTTCTATATTGATCGAATTGAAGTCTTTTTTTTTAATAAGAATTTTTTTCAGAAAAAAGATAATCCAACTTACCGAATAATGGCTTGAACTAAATGTTTATTTTTGTCATCCTTTGTTACTGAATAACAAGATGATAGTTGTCGACGTATTTCATATGGTTCTATTTGAATAGATCGAACAGAAGCTAAAAATAAACCTTCACGTTCAAGTTTACCAAAATAATTCATATGAAACTATAAATAGAATGAGTTTTTTTTAAATTTCGCATTAAATTTTGTATATAAATTAATTTTGCAGCTTACATGATCAAAAAATTCCTCTTCATATCGTTGCGATACACATAGTGGTGCTTTTAGTTGATAATGAGGTGTTTTTTCTTGTTGATCATCGTTTACAGCTTGTTGAAAAACAAATGAAGCTGATGATAAATTTTCTTCTCCTGGGTCAGCTGGCGTCACAGTACCATTAGTATTGAACGAGTTTGAAATAACTTCATTCATATTGAATATTAAGATAATCTCTAAAGATATATCAATGTGTTTTCTTTTTGTGTTCAACAAACGTTTTTCACGTTGTGAGTTATCGCGTGTAAAAAAATAGTGAATATGAGAAGGTGAAACGATGTTTTTCTGTTCTAGCAAAATAAATAAAAACGTATTTAACGGTAATAGCTGTGCCTGGATTAGTGATGAAGGAGAAATAATGACTCATCCATCAGTAAGATTTATTCAAACGTAACCAGTCATATGATTCATATACCTTTTTTTGACGAAGAATATTTTGATAATTTTTTATTTCTTTTCTTAAAATTAATAAAATATTTTGTAACTATAGGTTTTTATTAGGATGTCTTTAAGAAGTTTGATATTTTAGTTTTATTTTGACTAATATGAAATTCGTTGTTTTCTTCAAGTGACTTATTGGTATAGCTCATTGACAATATCTATATGTATGTTATAAACTAAAAGAAAATTGGTCGTACATTCAAATAGAAAAACTATCTGAACAAATGAAAGATTCTTAGAAAATAGGAAATATTCAGAAGAAACTTTCAAAGTCATCAGTTTCAGAAAATCGTTGTCGATACGTCTGAATCGTATATTTAGAGCCGAAAGATCTTACCACTGTCGACCGTTGAGAATTGTTAGGCTGTGGATGTCGGTGTGGCAGCGAACAAAAGTAGCATACATACCCATACCCGATATAGACTGCTCTGTATTATTAAGAACTAATCGAGTCGAAAACAAGGATTCAAGTGACTTTTTTTAATTGAAATATCTTACCAGTTCTCGACGTAGAAAGCGACTCAATGCTGACATACAATCAACCGATCTCATACTCTCTGATTTAGATGCAAGAATTAAAATATTACTATAAAGTGTTTATATTCAGCAAGAAAGAGAATTATACAAATTTGTTTTATGCATCTATATTTTGCACTCGGAAAGAATAATTATGGATGATTCTTATTGCAATAAAAGTATAAGTGAAAATTGTAGAACTGAAACTTTCAGACTGACTTCTGCTTTCATGCAAAAATTTTTTAGCGTTATTATAGAATTCTTGTTGAATATTTCTTAGGAAAAACCATAACATCATTAATTTATTTTTTTACCTACCCAAACATCGGATATCTTACCATTATCTTTGTGCTTGAAGTTTTGCAACAAACTAAAATTATATGTTTGCTCATATTGTAAAGTGGGTTTAAGGATCTTCTTTTTAGAGGTAAAATCTAGAACTATCATGTTTCCTTCAGGTTAGTCATAATAATGCACAATACGGAAAGTGTGAAATCTCTGAGAGACCATCGTTTTTGTTCAAAAGGATATGAATGTGAGTGGGGCGTGGGTGTGGGTCTCTGTGGGTGGGTGTGAGTGCGCGTATGCGTCTTGTTTTTT